TTCCTTTCTTCCTGTTGCTAGCATGGCTGAGGGGAGAGGAATCTGAGTAGACTGAAAGGTCTATGGACAGTGTCTAAAACCTGGTTGGGTCTGTTCCTAAGGATAGGGTAGGTGGGGAGGCCTAGGCCCAAATGTTGTCTGCTGACTTTTGCCAAATGACACACTGATCAAAACTTAATCTTATAATCTGGAAAATGGGTGTATCACAGTTTCTTCCTTCTTGAAGGGTAATGTCAGGACAAGCAAAGAAAATCCATGTCAAAACTACAAAATTATAAAAAAAAAAAGTAGATAATCCTTGACTTTCTCTTCTCTCTCTTTTTTAAATGTTTATTTATTTTTGAAGGAGAGAGAAACAGAGTGTGAGACAGGGGAGGAGCAGAGAGAAAGGGAGGCACAGAATCCAAAGTGGGCTCGAGGCACTGAGCTGTCAGCCCAGAGCCCGACACGGGGCTGAAACTCACAAACCGTGAGATCATGACCTGAACCGAAGTTGGATGCTTAACTGACTGAACCTCCTAGCACCCCCTTTCTATTATTAACATATGGTATCATGGTTAGGCCCAATTATTGTCACTTTGTAGCCTGATATTCCAGTAATTTATCTTCTATTCCTATGTTACTTAAGGAATAGAACAGTGTTATATTCCCTGAGCTCACACAAGGCAGTAGAGAAGGCTGGGGACGGGGGTATGGGAGGTGGTTCTCAAACAGACTGATGACAGGGATGTACATTCCTGAGATTTAAAATTTGTCACAAGAGAGACTATCTACATGTGGGTAATTGAGGTCTGGTAGGAGGAGGAGTGTTTCCTTAATAGGTTTGATACAAACTTAATTTCTGCAAAGCATCTTCTATTTTACATGTACCAATGCATATTTAAATGTACAACTTCAATTATCACCTCTAGGCAGATGCTTCCCCTCCTTGAACTTGCTCTTCAGCTCAGCTCCTATATCTCCAATTACCCACATGATATTTTCTCTTAAGGCTGTAAGATTATTTCACCTATATCCCTCTTATTAAAACCATGGAAGATGGGGACTGTAGACATGGTTGTGGCCCAAAGACCAAAGTCATTTCACCAGCAGGGTCAAGAGGATGGGATGTCAGGCTCACCAATTTCCAAGCACACAGGAGATGCTCCATCCACACTGCCCGTGGAAGGACTTGACATCACTTCACAGCCAACTTATGATCTTCATGTCTGGCTCTTCCTCCTGGCCTTTCAGTCTTCGTGGACTGGAAGCTCTAAGACTCTCACAGATCTCTGTATCTTACTTCCTATGGCTTCCCCCAGAGTTGGCATTTAGTAGGTTCAAAAAACATTTTGATGGCTGCAACAATGAATGACTATGGAGCTTTGCTATCATTCCTTGTATCATCTAAGCTTGAAACTCATCATTTTCTAGTTTTTTTCCCCCAGCCACTAATACCTCACTGATTGCCCATTTCTGTTGACTTGGCCCCTATTGGCATCTTTGGTTCCTCCTTCACTTCTGACGGCTCTCTTTTACAAGCATGAGCCCTGACCCCTTACATTGGACTCAGCCTCATCTCCTGCCCCCAGCCTTTCCTTTTTCCACCTCTTCCCATCCTGGGCTCCTCTTCCACAATAAATATTTTCATCATGACTTTTCCTGGGTTGGAAGCCATCTACATTCTCAGTACCTACATCTAAAATCCATATACCTTTCAGGCAAGGCTTGCCAACTCTTCCTGATCTTATCACCTGTTATTCTGCCTCACAATCCCGCACCTCCACAAGATGGCTCTGCCTGTGTCCTTGAAATACACCTTATACAGGTTTACCTCTGTATTTGCACATACTATTTGCCTTGTTGACTTTGTGAATTCCAATCATCATTTAGGCCCAGGTAAAGTCTTTACAATTATAACAGCAACAAAGAAATGCAGCAGTAACAGCAGCTAGAACTTTATGTCCCATGTGCCAAGCAAGCATAGTACTAAGTTATTCATACTCATTATTTTATTAACTTTCACAAAAACCCTAGGAGGTTAAGTACAATTCTTATCCTCATCCTACAGTGAGGAAATCTAGGCTCAGAAGCATCAAGTAATATGCCTGAGTTCATAGACTCATTATGCACAATAGCTGAAAATCAGACCTAGATCTGTCAGGTTGCCAAAGCTATGTTTCTAACCTTTAGGCTAGACTCCCTAAAGCCATTTTTCTTCTCTGAGCTCTCAAGCCTTTACTATGCATCATGGCCACTCATTTGCCAATTTTCTTTTTCTTTTTTAAATTTTAATTTTTTTATTAAAATATTTTTTAACATTTATTCATTTTTTGAGAGACAGAGAGAGACAGAGCACAAGCAGTGGGGGTGGAGGGTGCAGAGAGAGGGAGACACAGAATCCAAAGCAGGTTCCAGGCTTTGAGCTGTCAGCACAGAGCCCAATACAGGGCTTCAACCCACCAACTGTGAGATCATGACCTGTGCCAAAGTCAGATGTTTAACCAAATAAGCTACCCAGGTACCCTTTTAATTTTTATTTTAGAGAGAGAGCAAGCATGCATGAGTAGGGGAGAGTGGCACAGGAAAGAAAGAGAATCTCAAGAAGGCTCCAACTCAGTGCAGAGCCCGACGCAGGGCTCAATTCCACGACTCTGAGATCATGGCCTGAGCTGAAATCAAGAGTTGGATGCTTAACTGACGGAGCCACCCAGGTGCCTCTCCCCCCATTTGCCAATTTTCATGTGGAATGTTAAATCACTAAAAACTCTCTTGTACACATGTATTTCTTGTCCCTAGTTTTACCATAAGCCACCTGAGAATATGAATTATACTTTTGGGTCTTATAGGTTCTGCCCAATAAATGTATCTTGATGAAATTGATTAGAAGTATAAAGTAATCGACCCCCCCCCCCCCCCACTTAGTTCTGTTGGCTAATTCATCCTTTGAGCAGTGGGTTTATTTGCCCCTCCTCTCACCCCAGGACCACATGCTGACACTGGGTAGAAATAAAAGAGAAGATCAGAGCTGAGTTCAGGCCTTCGAGTAACAAATATATGCATGGCCTGGAGAAGGAGGGTCTGACAGTAGTTCCTGAGTGATTCAGGAATCTGTGTCTGCAGAATCTTGAATCTTTGAGCTCCTGAGGCCTTTGTGAAGTTAGACATATTACAGGAAAACAACAACAACCCCCAGATTCAACAACTATCGTGGACCACTATTAGATTTAATCACTTTCTTGAGAACCAAAAATGAAGTTGGTAATTACACAGCCCTGCTTACACATCACTGCAATGTTTTTGTTGTTGTTGTTGTTGTTAACTGGCCCATTTAAAATCAGAGCCATGAGATAGAACAGATATACCACTTTACATATGTAAAATGTTAATCTGGGGTTCAACCATCATGAACCTTATTGACCTTGAGTTAGTCACTGCCCTTTCCTGGTCTTCAATTTTCTCACTGTTGACTTGTGGGGTTTTAGAGGATCTCTAAGTTCCTCTCTTGCCTTGCCTTTCTGGGATGCTAATTAGCACAACCTCTTAATTTTGGTTTATATGCACAATGTTGAGTCACATTCTCCATGGCTTTGTCTGCTCCACCCTGCTCTCTCCTGCTTCTGGGCAAATGCCCCCAGATGAAGCAGTGGGAAGTTTCCTATGTGGGATCCCCTTGCAAAGTCCTCTCTGCCCTAGGCTTCCTTCACCTTGAGATGCCTCTGCCCTCTTGTGTACTTTGCATGTTAAACACCAAAGGCTTTCCGGTAAGTTCTCAGGGACAGGGGAAGCAGGTAGCCTGTATCTGGAAGCCATCATCAGCATCCCAGGACACTAATATCCCTACAGTCCTTATAAGGAAAGCTGATAGCTAAAATAGTTAGTTTTAAAGAAACCTCCTCCAAGGCTTCTCAAGTTGAATGTGAGCCTGCGTAGGAGGCCAGTGGACAGAAATGCCTGCCCAGACAAACCATCTCCCAACACATGCTCTAAACACATGGACACAGTGGTATGGGTGGAAAACTTGAAAGGCACACTCCTTGTGAAAGTAATGGTCCAGGATTCACTGTTAAACAGCAAACAGTGGAGACCAGACAAAAAATGGCAAGGGTTATTTGGCAGGTTAAAAAAATGTAGTGATGGAATAGTTCTGCACTGACTCTATCAATGGGCACAAGAATCTGCATGTGATAAAATTACACAGAACTGCATGTGCATGTACACACACAAATGAGTGTGTGTTATACTCTGAAATCTGAAGAGTAAGGTCTGTGGATTGTACTGATGTCAGTTTCCTGGTTTTGAGATCATATTGTTATGTAAGATGTTACCATTGGGAGGAAACTGGGGTAAAAGGGCACATGGACCTATCTAGTATTTTTGAAACTTCCTATGAATCAATAATTACTTCAAAATAAAACTAAAAACACCCCCCAAAACCAAGCACCTAGTGCAGTGAGTGGATCTGGCTATGTCTCCCCACCAGCCTGGGACACAAGTGCCAATGCCCTCTCCAATATCTTATTAGTAACAGCCACCCCTTTACCATCAGGATCATGGTCATGATCATCAAGGCTCCCACTTATGGAACACTTACTATGTACTAAGCACACTTTCTCATTGGCATCAACACCCCTACCAGAATATCATCCCCATTTTGCAGAAGATCATGACCCTGGGAAGAGCTGAATAGAGCCCCAGGCCATAGAGTTACTGTAGGCCAAGCTCTGACCCAGGTCCGGGACTCTAGTGCTCACACTTGGGGTTGAAAAACCAGAGAGGAAGAGGACTCTGTGGAGCTGTTGTGGCACTTGATGCATGTTCCCTGGAAACCACTCAGGCACATCCCTCAATCTGTCTCAAAGGCGTCTGCACCAAGGCAGCACATAGCACAGTGACACCACCTTCCTGTCCCGTCCCTCACCCCTGTTCTGGCCAGAAAGCCACATCCGTAGAGAAGCAAAAAAAAAAAAAAAAAAAAAAAACAAACCAAAAAAAAAACAAACCAAAAAAACATCACTTACAAGTTCTTCACGTTGGTGATGCCACGGAATGCCTTCCTCGGGATCCCTAGGATCTGGTTTTCGCTCAGATCTCTAAACAAGAAGAGAAGAGGCACATGTATTAACGACCAAGGCCCGGCTTTATCTGCATCTCATTATGACAACAAAACCTCTCACAGGCTGCCTCTGCGGTCAGGAGTGTTGGAGGCACTGTTTAGTCTCAGGCCCCAGGCTGCTATGAGCCTTCACATTGTTCCTCTAGTGATGGCCTTTGCTGAAATGGTTACCAGGCGGGAGCAGCTCGCCTCCAGGGCGGGCTCTGTGGGTGGTCTCGCACCTCCAGGCCACGAGCCAAGACGCTGGGTTATTTGTTGCACACAGACCGCACCCAATTCTGTTTTGCCACCTCCCAGAGAGACCCCTGGCCCCCCTTCCCCAGGCCGTCCCTCCCCCACTTCAGGGTCAACAGCACTCAGTCTCCCATCTCTCAGGGGCATCTCCCATCTCTCAGGGACTCTCTGCCTTTGTCATTTGGGTTTGGAAGGGAACCTGGCAACCCTGATTTTCTGATGGGGGATGACCATCTCTGTTTATTCTAGAGACCCAGACACCCTGGGGGCCTCCTAGATCAGCTAAGTGACAGCCATGGTGAATTCAAATTGCAGTTGCACAAACCTGTCCAAAATGGGGGTCCCATGGGCACCCCATCTAGCATTAAGGGTGCTAATGTGTTGCTTTGAGGAGGAAAGGTAAGGGACAAAGTGTCAGGTCTTGAAGCTGGCTCAAACCCGGGTCTCATACCAGGGTCCTCTTTAAGAATCCCCAAAGCCTCAGTTTTCTTTCCTAAGACCTATGCAGCTTTTTTTCCTTTTTGTTTCCCCCTTTTCCCCCTAAACAAACACATACACTTGTTTTCATTCATACCTCAAGCTTGCTTGGAATTTCAGTGAGCAATCAGTCATAACCGCATGTCTCTACACACATACACACAAACATATACATACATATCAATCATATGGACATGTATCTATAGATACGGATATATATCTCAATTATTTTGAAAATAACACAAAAACTTTTAGATACTAAGGTACAAAATCATCTACCCAGACCATAACCACTGTTACCAATTAGGAGCAATATGTATAAATTTCACAATATGATCTCATAGTATATAGTCAGTCATAAACTCTTTTTTCACTTATTATATTGAGAACATCTGTTCATGTCATTAACAGTACATGTATGCCAACATTTTTAATCACTGTATATCATCCAATTGTATAGAGGGCTATGCGATCCCACATTGTTGGGTATTTGCCATTTAAGGAAACATGAGGATGGGTTTTCCTCCCCAGACATTTTTGGGACAATTGTTTGGCCACTTCCTTGGTATAAAGTCCCATAAGGAGCATGTGCTGGGTCACAGGGTAAACGTCTTTAACTGCTGAGTGGTCCTAGAGGGAGATTGTACCAATGGACACTCCTACACTTAGGTTTCCACGGGAACCTAATCAAAAGCTAAAGAGGATTCCAAATAAAGAGAGGTCAGACAACCATCCTTCACTGAAACTTAGGCCATCTAAATTAACATTTTGTGAAGGGGCAGGAGGAAAAACAGAAAGCAGAAGAGAGGCATCACTTTCCTGCTCTCACCTGCTGAGAGGAGCTACCACACTCTGAGTGGGTGACTGGAGTTTCAGACACTTGGGGATTGTCTGGGGCCACTGTTAAGCCCCAACGCAAGGCTCAGAGTTGGGGTAGGGTGCAGATATAACTACCAGTGGCTTCTGGGGCTGAATAACAGGGTATTCCCCATCTCAAATCCAGTTTCCTCTGTCTGCCACGGTGTAAATAAATTTAGATGCACAAGGAGCCCCATTGCAGGCTCCCCCGGCCAGGCCTGATTCAATGAGCAGGGCTCCAGCCTGGAGTCGGGGCACCGAACAAAGCCTATGGTGACAGCAGAGGTCAGGCAGGTTCACCAAGGTCACTCCTCTGCTCTCCATCAGACTCCAGGGGAAGGGGGTGCAGGTCCTGTCATCTGACTAATGCAATTTCCACCAGGCATCTGGGCTGTACTCAAGGCTCCAGCAACCACAATGGGTCCAGTCTTTTCTGCCAGGTGAAGGCTGGTCTCCAGGACAGTGAGCCCCTGCCCACTATCCTCCCAGGCTTGGCCGCTATCTTTGGCCACTCTGGGAAACAGCTCGGGCCGCTGTGCCAGCCAAGGGGGAATGATCAAAATCAGGGGCAGGGGAAACAAACAGGAGAGAGGTCTGGACTGTCAGCTCTAACCATGTCTGGAAGCCAGGTGAAGGGGTACCTACTCCCATAATGCATTAACCCTTTGAGTTTAATGTAGCCTTTGAGTTTAATGAGTTGACATGTAGCCTCAAACATCCTGAAGAAATAACAATTGTATAAAGGTTCCAACTTGCCATATGGTGGGCTGAAAAGGGGAGAGCAGCATTTTAGCTGAAAAATCTGGCCCACCTCCTGAGAGACGTTCCACAAAAGCCATCACACAGGCAAAACCCTGCAACTGCACGGGGCAGCCTCTCGGGTTTCTGGTCACTACTTTCTTGCTGGAAATACACCCAGTCTTGCTCCCAGTTTAAGGGACCCCATTTAAAAGCACAGCTTTCTTTCCACCTCCTTGCCATGGCTTTCCTCCTGCTGTAACCGAGGAAAACAGTGGATTGTAGGGAATTTATCTGTTCCCCATGACAATCTGCTTGTAAATTTTATTAATTTTATTTTCCATTGAGCCTCTGTTCTCCAGCTAACAATACCACTGCCATCCATCTGCAGGATTGTATATTGATTTCATAAATACCTCCAGTGGGCTGACAAACTGACAGCTTTAATGGTGTTACTGATGGGGCGTGGAGGAGGGTTCAGGGCTGGGTGCTTCATTTTCGGTAACTGTCCCTTCACAATTATCTTGGGGCCTTTGTGAGGGCTCCTAATAGTGTGTTTATCTCAGTGTGATGCCAGAGCATGGAGCTATTGCTAAGCACCACCCATGAGAGCCACAAGAGCCACCATTTTCAGCTGACACTTAAGTAAAAATAACAAAATCTATCCGTAGTGCCCAAGAGCCTAGTTCCGGCCAATTGCTTGCTGGGGGTTTAGTGCCTTGCCCTTCCTGAGGGAAAATGTTCAGAAATAACCAGGGAAAGGGAACTTTTTTAAAAAAAACATTAGATATAAGGTATGAGGCTGGAGCACAGTGAGAGGGTAAGGGGCGTGTGCTGAAATTTTCTGGGGGAAATAAAGGAAGATGGCTGGTGGGAAAGGTTTTCTTGGTTGGCAGTAGGGTTATGGATTGGGATGCCTTTTTAAATAATTAGGACTCTGAAAGAAAGGAGGACTGCATTAGCTAAAGTGCATTTTCCTGCTTCCGGAAAATGATTAACCGACGGATTATTCCATCCAAAAACACAAGACCAGAGAGGACTTATTAAGGAGACAGTAAGTCAAATAGGAGTTGGCAAGCACCAATATATCCCCCTTCCAGCCAGCACCCCCCCTTTTTAATTTACTAAAATGCTTTGGACACAGATTAACTTTCTTCGCAAATTTATTATTGCTTCATCTACCTTGAAACGGGAACTGCAGACACTTTGATAAATGGATTGAAAGGTTGTCTAGTTCCAGTGGAGCTTTGAAATGCTTCCCAGTGCTCTCTCTGCAATGTCAGGCAGGCTTTGTTCTTAGAGCAACAGTGAATGACAGTCCCCACCTTCACCCCCACCCCTGCCCACCCCATGTTTACCAGGGAAGATGGCAAGGCGAGAAGCAGGAAAACAGTTTCCTCTGCTCAGTGGGGACAATGCACTGGTCTCAGTCACATTCACGCTACCCGGAAGTCTTGTCTGTGTTAGATGGCAGTTTGTGGGAGGTGAAATTTGTTCCTAGATATCAATCTTGAATTATTCTGAATGTACCAGAAGGGGTTCAGAAGCTCCCCCAACCTTGGTGAATTCTTGTTTCTGAAGTGGGGAGGGCCACTTATTAGCGGTATGATCATGCAAGGTACTGAAATGCTCTATGCCTCCGTTTCCCCATCTTTAGGGCAGGGGCTTTACTGACTTCCTAGGTTAATCATGGGGATGAAAGGAATTGATATATATGCACCTTGCAAATCACGTGGAATCCTATAGGCATTCAACGAATGGCTGCATTTATTTCTTGGATTTTCTGCCCAGTTAGCCCTGAATTTTACATTGCCGAAAACATCCTTTATCATCCTCTTCAGGATATATGCCTACAACTATGCAAAGAATAAAACAAATAAATGTTAACTAATATTCTTTCTATAAAATCTGAGTGAGGAATCGAAGTTTCCCTCATCATCTAGACAGGAGTATCCCTATTTGATTCTAGAGTCTTTTGAATGAAAGAGGAGAGCTTGATTCAGGAGAGAAGGTCTGTCTCAGTTTGGGCTCTCAAAGAAGTTGACATTTAGCCAAGTGATGGATTCAGACTTGCATCCTGGGAGAGACTAGTAAAGGATGCAGGAAGCAGGATGAACAAGGGAAATAATTATAGGTCAGTTAGGTAAAGTCCTGGCCTTGTCTCTAACCAAGGGATCTGGGTCATTGTAGCCCTGCATCAGACAGTCCTTGGTTAGCGATCACCCAAGAGAAATACAAATTGCTGGGCTTTGCCTGCTCTCCATAAGGCTAAACACGGTGACTCCAAGACTCAGCGACAGATTGCTGAGGAGGTTCCCAGTCATGACCTTTACCAGCAAAGTCTAAAGAAGCAGGAGATAGGAGCCAGAGTCAGTAAAGGGACCCAAGGGATCCATCTCAAAGCATTCATAAGAAGGCTTCAAGGACAGTTCTCCTGATTCAGGAAGTTCTCAGAAGACTTAAAAAAAAAAAAAAAAGATCACTCATGAAAGATGACATACCCAGGACCAAAGATCAGGAGGCCATAGGGAGAAGCTTAGTGACCAAAGGAAATTAGAACAATGCAATCTGATGCCTTCTTTGTCTACTTCTCCAGACCTTGCACTGAGACCAACAGGCACTTTTTTAGTAACTTAAAAAAGAAAAAAAAACAAAAACAAAAACAAAAAA